CTGCTAGTCTGTTTCTTTTGATTAGAGAATTTAGACCATTTACATTGATGGTTATAACATATATATTGACTTATCCTTGTCATGTTATTTTCCTATTGTTGGTCTCCCTTTCCTCCCACCTCTTTTTAATTGCTTGGCTTGCATTGGTGGATTCATTCTGTGGGGATTCTCTATCAATCTTGAAAGACAGTTTTGTGGGGGTACATCCATGTAGGTTGTAAACTGTTTTCCTTTAGGGGTTGAAATACTTCCCTCCAAGCTTTCCTTTACTTGAGCTTTTTGTTGAAAAGTCTGCTGTGATTCTGGTTTTTTGTTTGTTTGTCTTGTCTGCTGTGATTCTGGTGGGCTTTCCTTTATAGGAGATTTGTTTCTTGTTTTTTTTTTGTTTTTTTTTTTGTGTGTGTGTGTGTGTGTGTGATACGAGGAATCTAACCCAGGACCTTGCACTTGCCAGGTAGGCATAGCACCATGAGCTAAATCCCCAGCCCTATTTCTTTTTTTCTAACAGTTTTTAATATTCTGAATCACTATCATGTCTTGGTGTAGATTTTTTCTGATCATGGCTAACGGAGCACTATATGCCTACTTACCTGCATGTCAAATTCTTTTTTCCTGCTTGGGAACTTTTCTGCCATTACTTCTGTAAACTGTTTTTTTTTATGTCATTTGTGCTATTTCCTGCTTTTTTATTGACTCTGATCAATCTTAACATTATTCTTCTTTGCATCTAGCAGCTATGGGATTGATTTTTAGTGGTCCCTTGCTATTTTTAAGAAATCTTTCTTTTCATGGTCACTAATTGCAACCCTGTCTTTTATATCTGATATTCTGTCCTCACATTGGTTCATTCCTCTGTAAATACTTTCAATAGATTTTTTTTTTTCGTATGGGGATCAAACTTGGGACCTTGCATTTGTGAGGCAGGCAGTGGCATCAATGGACTTTTTAATCTCCGAGATAACTGTTTGAATCCATTTCATGGATTCCATTTCCTTCCTATATTGGGCATTCATAGTTTCCATCATTTTCCTAAGCTCCTCTATTTTTTAAAATCTATATCTGCTCTAGAGTCACTCACTATGTCTTTTATTATGATCACCATCTCTATAAGTATCTGAATTTTTTTCAGTACTGAGAATCAAAATGAGGATCTTGGGCTTGCCAAGCAGTGTACTAAATCCCAAGCCCTCTGTAGTTATCTGAGAAACTTTCTGCTTTGATTTTTTCCAAGAGCTTCATTCATATGCTTTGTTCTTTCTGCTGTTACCACTTCAGAGAGCCCAGGTGGGTAGGTTTTCAATCGTTCCACCTTATTGCCCCCTGGGTTTGCCTTTGATGAACCGTAAGTTCGGGTTGCACCTTGCTTAACTTTCTTTCAATTTCTTTTTCTTTTTTTTTTTAGTTTAATTCCTGGGTTGATCCTTGTAAATTTCTTATGGCAAGTAGCTTTATTGATAGTATTTAGAACTCTTAGGAAATGATTACTTCTCAGAGATGTATTCCCAGTGTGGCTAGCTTTGGGGTTTTGAATCTGTTGCAAGATCCCACCTACTGTTTGTTGGGGATGAGAAGTTGCTGCCTACTTGGCCTAACCCCTGGTTCTCTGGCACTGGCCTATCGTGTTGTTTATGACTATGGCAATCTATGTCTTGCCACACCAGGAAGAACAACTGATTAGAACAGCTATGCCACCTTGGCTAAAGTAGTACAGTCAGCAACAATAATAGCATCAAATACAGCCATCCACTGTGATCTGCTGCTCTGTTCCACTGCTATGTTTCTCTGAGGAGGTCTCTAGAGTCACCAATAGTCACAGTGCAGCTGCTGGCTCAAGTTGCCCCTCTCACACAGTGAATCAAGAAGGAAGTGCTGCTTGCTGCCTTCCTCTTTGTGGAAGTCTTTTTGCTCTCCCTGTGGGCTTCAATGCTTGCTTCAGATCCTTGCCAGTCACAGGGACCCACTTCTCTCCTTCATGTTGCTGTTCCAGCGCCTGAACACCAAATCTCAGAGAAGCTGTTTTCCTGCTCTTAACCACTCTGCCATCTTCCCAGAAGTCCTGCCATGAAGTTTCTGCCTCACCATCAGCCTAAAGCAGTGGAGTCACTTAACCATGAGCAAATCCTTCTGAAACAGTGAGGCAAAATTAACATTTTCTCTTTTAAGCTGTGTGTATCAGGTATTTGATCACAGTAACAAAAATCTGACCAATATACCTATTTTCACTTAAAGATCTAAACACTTTTATCATAATTAGAAACTTTTAAAAATGAGTTTTCTAAAAAGGTTCAGCTGGCCTTGAACTCATTATATAGTCTAGGCTGGCCTGAAACTCATGGCAACTCTCCTGCCTCAGCCTCCCAAGTACTTGGATTACAGGCATGAACCATGACATCTGGCTTTAATAGTGGTGTTTTAATAAGAAGAGGGGAAGCCAGGCGTGGTGGTGCACACCTGTAATCCCAGCACTTGGGAGGCTGAGGCAGGAGGATCACTGTGAGTTTGACACCAGGCTGGGCTACATAGTGAATTCTAGGTCAGACTCAAATACATAGTGAGACCCTACCTCAAAAAATTAAAAAAAAAAAGAGGAGGAAAAGGCCAGGGGGTGCACACATGTGTACTCTCTGTCTCTTGCCATTTGTTGCTCTGTGCTGCCTTGGGACTCTCCCAACCAGAAGGCAATCACCAGATACAGCTCTCAGCCTTTTACCAGAACACTAAACCAAACAAAACTGTTTTCTTTATAATTTTCCTAGGCTTGAATACTGTAGGTAACTAGCAATAATAGAATGTGGACTAATACTCCAGCCCTGGAACTTTCAGAATTCATACAACCAGTATTTCCATAGTTTGAGGTTCTTTGACATAGCATCAACAAATTGTCTATTCCAACATTCTTGGACTCAAGAAAAAAATTTTTTTCATAAAAGTTTGTGATCACTTTGTTACTCCAGCCTGCTGATGTCTTGCCTCTTCATTTTGCACTAAATTTTGCTTGTGTAAATACTGGGTCAATTCTCTCTCTTGGTCTTCTTCTCTCCCTTCTTATGGTAATCTATCTTTAGCGATGGAGTCCTCTTCAACTGAATGGCAAATTATTTTGGGAATTTTAAGTACCGAAGATGTCAAGTTATTTTGGGGTGAATGGAGCCCTTGTGGTTGAGTGAACCAACACCCTCCAGCAAGGACTGCAGTGTTGATTCCTCATTCTGATGCTCCAATCTTTGTAATGCAGTGAATGCAACTGAGTCAGAATCCAGTTTAGGGCTTCCCCCAGCTTGACCAATTTCTCTTTAAGTTTCAGGGCCCCCAGATAAAAATCATGAGATATAAAATTGGATAGATGATAAAATTATGCCTCTATCAATGACTTCATGCCAGATGCAAAGTCAGTGCTATTTCTCCAGAATTGGTAAGACAGGTCTTCTTAGTAGTAGTGGTAGGCATAGAAGATTGATCTGGTTTCAGTTTTCTTACATGATCTGAATTTTGGGTCAAGGCAGCAAAATTTTTTTCCCCATTTGGAAATCATTTAGCTCTTCCTGACTCCTTTTAGACTATTTGATCCTTCCTATTGTCCCAACCTCAAGTTTCTTTCTGTTTTATTTCTGCCTCTGGATAATTCCCTGAGCATGCATTAGATCCCACTCTCTCTTTTCTATTCAGATCCTTTTGTCTAATATCTGTGTGCCCCAGCTGTTGTAAGTCCAAACCTACCTGTTAAATAGTTTGGGTACCTCTGGGGTGAATTGTTAATGCTAAGCTTGCATCTTAATGACCTCGAGATGTCCCTGCCTGAAGAGCCTTCAAATATATGGTCCCCTAGCCGGGTGTGGTGGCTCACACCTGTAATCCCAGCACTCGGAGGCTGAGGCAGGAGGATCGTTGTGAGTTTGAGACCAGCCTGGGCTACATAGTGAGTTCCAGGTCAGTCTCAACTACATAGTGAGACCCTGTCTCAAAAAACAAAGCAAAACAAAACAAACAAACAAAATACATGGTCCCCTGCCATGGACAGTCACCACTTTCCCCTCTTTGGGATGGCTATCCTTGCCAAAAAGATTTCTCTCTAGTCAAATTCAACTTTTCAAAAACTCATTTCACTGATGCTAAAGACTAAATTCTGCATAAAGAATGTTGCCAGAAACATCCTCAAACGAGGCCTCCATGGCAGGATCTCAACTACAGTGAGACCCTGTCTCAAAAAACAAAGCAAAACAAAACAAACAAACAAAATACATGGTCCCCTGCCATGGACAGTCACCACTTTCCCCTCTTTGGGATGGCTATCCTTGCCAAAAAGATTTCTCTCTAGTCAAATTCAACTTTTCAAAAACTCATTTCACTGATGCTAAAGACTAAATTCTGCATAAAGAATGTTGCCAGAAACATCCTCAAACGAGGCCTCCATGGCAGGCGTGGGTGGGCAAGGCGCTAGGCACTGCCAAGGTTTCAGCATATCTGTGGTTCACCTCATACTGATCTAGGACATTCCGTCTCGGAAGCAAGATCTAGCACTACAGTTTGAATGTATGTGTCCTCCTGAAATTAATTTGTTGGAAACGAATAGCAAATATGGTAGTGGTTTAGGTGATGAAGTCCTGAGTATTCCAAGTTCTTGAATAGGATTAGTATTTTTATCAAAGAAATTGAAGCACCCAATCCCTCCATCCCTTCTGCCCTTCCACCATGTGAGGACATAGTGTTCATCCTCTTCAGGGGTCACAGCAACAAGATGCTATTTTAGAAGCAGAGATAAAAGCCCTCACAGGACATCTAAGCTAAGGCCTTGATCTTTGAAGTTCCCAGCCTTCTGTACTTCGAAAAGTAAATTTCTATTACTTCTAAATGACTCAGCCTGTGCTATTTTCTTACAGCAGTTAAAACAGACAAAAGCATACGGTGTTTATTTTTCTGCCTTTGCATTAGGCAGCTAAAATTATATTGGACCATCCATGTCAAGGCACTCTGATGTACACTTTATGTAAGTTAGCCCCTGTGACCTTTACAATGACCACAGGAGGTGTACATTAAAATCTTCTCTATTTTTCAGCTAATGATCCTAAAGCAATGCCTTTTCTTTGCTCTTCTTCCCTGGAGAATTTGCCCATTGGGTGGGTACACTTCCCTCAAATCCTAAAGGTGCTAGTTTTCCTTTTTGGGGAATACTCCCTGTAATTTGGGTCTATGTCAAATGATGCTGGGAGAGGGTGTATTTTAGAAAAAAGTGGACATTTTCCCTCACTCCTCCCCTCATCACAACATATAACATACTTGTACGTGGCTAGCACCAACTAAGAGGCCTCCGGAGCAGGACTGTGCTTGTTTGTACTCAGGGCAGTGTTGAGTTAGAGCTCTTTCCCTGGATCTTAGTGTGTAACCTTTTCTCAGGTGCTTCCCTGAGAGATTATACCAGCAGGAAGGTGCAACAACTTAGGGGCAGGATGCTGAGGCATAGTGAAGGTAGGGGCTTGAAGGTGACAGCATTCTATTCCCTAAGCAGTCAAGCCAACTGTTCAACAACTATGATGTCCAATCCCACGATATGACATCTTTAATTTTTAACAGATTGTCCTACAGAGTGGTCTTAACCTACCTCCATACTCACCTTTCACTCCAAAGACTATTTGCTAGGACTGGCATGGGTTCATTCTTGCGACCCAGCATCCAAGGCATCTCACTGGATCTGAGATGGCTATTTCCTTAACATGCACAGATCATATGGCAATTTACATCTTTTAGATGGTAACGGGGATTGAATACATGGTCTCACGCGCTAAGCAAGTGCTTGACTATTGAGCAACATCCCCAGTCCTAAATTAACTAGTCACTAATTAAATTCAAGCAGGAGCTGGATCAGGCAGCATGATAGGCATGAGTGTCTAGAGGCGCCTGCTCATCTTTAGGGCGACATCACCTTCCGGTCCTGGGTGCCTGACTTGAGCACAGTGAAGCCCCACACTGGCACAATGAAGGCCAGGGACTGAGGCTTGTGGATCCAGAGAATAGGGAAGAGTGGGCACAGGGTCTCAGTTGGGTGAGCAGTGATGATTCCCCCAAAGAACTCTACTCTGGTGGTTGTATTAAGCACTTAATGTGCTTCAGACCTTGAAGATGAAACTTCTGTGCACCGATTCACGAAACACCCACAGAAATAAGGAAGGAGACAACCAACGCCCCAGAAAAAAATCAAGTGAGGGGAAATGATAAATGGTGCTATGAGATCCTGGGGTGGAACACTGTAAATCCTGGAGTGCAGTCAGTGTGGACGTTTACTGCCTGCTCATTTCATCAGTAATCAGACATTCCTGAGATCTAAATGGGGAAGGTGATTTATACACCACAGAATAAATAAAACAATTACACTAAGGTTCTCTTTCTCTCTAGCCATTTATCTACAACTATCCACACAAAGATAACTCCCACATGTACCTCCCAAGCTCAAATTCCTTCTGCAGAAATTCAAATGTATATTTCTAACTCTATAGGATGTATCTTCCCAAATCAACATCTGACCCCCCAACCACAACAACTTTTCTTTTCCCACTTACGTGAGAAGTTATCTGAAACTAAGGCTTCTCTGTTTCTCCTACAAGCACTTACATTCTGAGCTTTGGTACGCCCAGAATAAAGCTATGAATATGTGCACTCAACTAAAGAGGGAGGTAACAGGAGCACAGGCTGGGTTCTGGGTCATACAAAGTCTTGTCTCCACAGTGAGGACAGAGGTTGGCACTGAACCAGACCACGGCTTGCCTCCCTGCATCACGCAGCATCTGCTTTAGCTTGGCATGCAGATGGGCGAGTCTTCCCAGGTGGATGCCTAGGTTGTCTTCGTAAGTTTCTAAGGGAGCAGGATACAGCACGTGGTTTAGCTTGCTCAGCCCAATGGTGTGCAGCAGAAGATTCTGCAGCACACCCATGGAGATAGAGTTTCCGCAGAAGGTGAACGTCATGAGTTGGGAGCACTTGCTCAGGCCAGGCAAGATGGCAATAAACTGAGGGTCCATAATCCCACACTCATCTAAATCCAGGTCTTCAAGGGTGGAGGAGGCTCTCTCTAGCAGAGTTCTGAGGGGCTCAAGACTCATAGTGGTCAGATTGACCCCACTCAGGCTCAGGTCCTTCAGGTGACTCACGCTGGGGCACTGGGATAGGTGCATCAAGTCTGACTCTGAAAGTACGCAGTTAGTTATTGAGAGTATCTCCAAAGAGCTCCTCAGGCACCTGGGGAAAGACAGAGCAGTCAGTGCTTGGGAATGGCGGCAGTGCTGGGTGGGGCAGGTGGGGATGATCCAGGCCTTGAGGTGGAGGGGAAGACAAACCCAAAATCTTTCTGATTGTGGTCAACTCCCAGGATGGAACAGGGCAAAGGGGCATTCAGGAAAGTTCAAGGTTAGGTGGTGTCCTTTCTCCATTACTAATTTTGCTGTGTAACTAGGTTAAATGAAAGAAATCTCAAAATCTTCCTTTGCTCTTCTGTCAAGCAGAGAACACACACTTCCTAGTTGTTGTGAACATGAATTAAGGTGGAAATAGGATATGCTCAGTAGAGCCTGACCTCATGTCTCAAGCAAGGAAAGATATCATGGTTTTGTTTCGTTTTGTTTTTTTGGTACCGGGGATCGAACTCCGGACCTTGGGCTTGCGAGGCAGGTGGCGGAACCACTGAGCTAAATCCCTAGCCCCAGGAAAGACACTACTGAATTTTGGTTTCAGAGATACTATTGAAACTGCTTTTTAATTAACAAAAATGGAAAAAATTTAACTTCAAAATAAGAGACCAAAAAAAAGGAAAATGCTTTCAACTTAAGCTTCCTTCTGGCTACCTGGGCTCTAGTCACCTGTATCTCTGGGCTGGTTGAGGCTAGTAGGAAACATGCATAAAGAAAACAATTAGCCAAGATCAGTGACATCCACAGGCTGCACCAATCAGCGTGAAATGCTGTACTATCTGTACACCACCTACCGCTGTTCACCATTCTTCATTCGCACTCCTCTCTCATCTCCACAATCATGCATTTACTACCTATCTCCCTACGAGTTCAAAGCAACCCTCTACAGAGAGAAAAATCTGAGACAGGTGTGGAGGAAGAGACTCATGTCAGGTTTGTGAGTGTAGGGACGGCAATATGAAGTTTAAAGTCAGGTGGACTTACTGTTCTTCAACGCTCTCCTCCCTCAGATAGTTTTAGTTAAACTAGACATCACTTCCCAAGAAATAATTTCTAAACCCAGTCTCCCCAGACACCAGACTGACATCCTAGGAATCACTGTGAACAGCATTTCTCCAAGTTTAAGACTCTAATTATGGTTTATCCCTTCCAAAATTCATGTTGAAATTTAATCTCCTTTATGACATACTAAGAGGTGGAACCAGGTACAACCTTTAAGAGGTGATCAGCCGAGGGTAGTGTTGCATGCCTGTAATCCCAGCATTCTAGGAGGCTGAAGCAGGATGAATTTGAATCCAGCCTAGGAACATAGTAAGACCTTGCCTCAAAATAAAAATAAAAAAGAGCTGGGGGTATATTCAGTGTAAAGATCACGGGTCCAATCCCCAGTACTAGGGGAAGGGGACAAAAAAGAGGTGATTAGGGCTTTGCTTTCATGACTGGATTAATGATAATAGGCCATCTGAAGATTAGGTTTGCCATAAGAGCTTGTTTGGCTGGATCCTTGAACACTTCATGTCTCTAGCCTTAACACCCTGTACCATTTTGGGGCAACACCATTCAGAATGCCATCACCAGAAGTTACCCTTAGACCCTGGACCAGAACTGTAAACCAAAATAAGCCCTTTTATAACTCATCCAGTCTGTGCTACTGCATTATTAGCTAGAGAAAAACACATTAAGACAACCTCTAAACCTCCATCTGGGCAGTTAGATGATAGCATACTTAGGAACAAGACAGTGTGTTGACTTCTAGTGACTTTTTCACTCTTGCATTGCTTGTGGCTGCACACAGTAGATGCCCATTATTGTTACTGAAATGAGCGAGGCCTGTGGTGGTCTACAAAGAAACCTAACCAAATTCTCACCTGAGCACCTTGTTCAGGCGGCCTTTGAGGAAGGAAATAGAGTCCAAATACAGTTTCTGAAGGTGATGAAAACTGAGGAACTGAGAGGTAAACTGGTTGACATACTGTTCTTCCTTCTCTAAGTAAGTACAGGAAGTCATGAGGATGTGGGAGAGGAGCAGTCTGCGAATATTACTCATCTGGCCCAGGAAAGGAGCAAAAGTTCCAAAGATAGACATCTTCCAAGTGCAATTAATTTCCAAATCCTGGACAGAGTCCAGCTGCACCATTTTCAGGATCATCTCAATATTTTGCATGGGCATTGCAAAAATCTTCAGCTTCCGACAGCACAGGTGTAGTAAACCTTTTTTATTCCTGACTGTCTTCATGAGGGAGGTGAGCACTTCATCATTCCTGCCTTGCTTGAGACACAAGTCTAATAGCACCTTCACGGGACCCAAGGGCTGCTCTCCTTGTACATCAAAACCATCCACTTTTTGCTTCTTCTTCATGGGCTGTGCAGCCTCAAGTTTAATCAACGACCATACATCTATCCTGGATCCAGACCACACAGTCCAGAAGTCCTGATGTTCATTCTTGCGTAAATCCAACACCTGTAGGTTCCACCTCCTGTAGGGAAAACAGGTAGGTAATTCAGAATTAAAAGCAGGAGTCTCAGAATCGGGTGGGGATCAAACATCTGACCTCAACTGTTACTCCAAACCCCAGACATCAGATTCTCCCTTTACCACTGATATCCTTACTTGTCCCTGCTCTCATATTTTTACATGCCACTGAGTAGGAGTGGGTTCATGTTCCTCCAGTCACTTGTGTGACTTCATCAACCCCTGACATCCAGAAGCTCATTCTCTTAAGTGACACCAGCAATGACTCTCAGACCTCCCTAAGCTTCCTCACTGGCAACAACAGAGGCCCCTGGCCTACCCTTTGACTCTGTATGCCCTGACTCCAAATGCTCAGATTTGCTCAGATTCCCAAGGTCCTTCCCAGACTACTAGGTAACTCTCACCTGGGGCGAATCGCCTGAGAAAGCAGCACATCAAGTCCACTGAGTGCTGCTTGGAAGTTTTCTTGGTGAGGTTCTTGTTCTGTCATCAGGGGCCCCAGAGGGAGGCAAGGAAAGGGCCAGGCCTGCACCATTGCCTTGAGGGTCTTGCTGTATCTCCTAGCATAGGCCGCCATGAACAGAGGTGGGAAGAGCTCTATGGGTAGCTCCTCCAGGGCGCCAATGGCCAAGGCCTCATCCCTCAGCAGGCTCTGCTTAGCCAGCTCCAGAAGTGTTGGTGGGGTCAACATGGTCATCCTGATGAATCTTTCTCACAAGGAATCCTGAGGAAACATGCAGGGAACAAAGCATCCTTCTCAGGCTTAAGTGTGAGCATCCTCTCTCCACCCTTTAGAGGGACCAACCCAGTACCGAGGGACCAACCCAGTGCCAATGTCCCTGCTCTGACAACAGCAAGGAAGTCCTCAGTTTACTCAAATGCTTTCTATACTCAGTGGCTACGAAGCAATAGCTGTATCTCTGTCAGTCTCAGAACAAGCACCCGGCCAAGTGCCCAAAAGATGACCTCATGATCATTTGCCCCACATCCACCCAGTGCTCTATTTTATTCTAGATTCCTGGGAAGTAAGTACTAAGGAGCTGAAAGCTGACTCTGCCTCCTTTTAGAAAGAAAGTATATTATAGATTGAGTATCCCATATCAGAAATGCTTGGGACCAGAAGTATCCGGGATTTAGGATTTTTTCAGATGTTAGAACATCTAAATATACAAAATAAGCTATCTGGGGATGGGACCCAAGTCTAAACATAAAACTTATTTATGTTTTACATACACCTCATAAACATAGCCTTCAGGTAATTTTATACATAATATTTCTTTCTAGTAATTATGTACACGAAACAAAACTTCACAATGTGGAAGCTTGACCTTGTGGCATCATCTTGGCTAGGAAAAAGTTTCAAATTTTAAAGTATTTTCAATTTTCAATTGTTAGATTTGGGATGCTCACCTGTTTACCCAAGGACAATGGGAATAGGAATGCCACATGGCCAGCAGTCTCCACCTCCACTTGAACAAATAACCCAAATGAGAAAGATAAGAAATATATGGACAATAGGTGTCATAATATTTCCTTCTTTTTGAGGCAGGGTCTCACTATGTAGTTTGGGCTGGCCTTACACTCGCTGCGTAGCCCAGGCTGGCCTCAAACTCATGGCAATTCTCCTGCCTCAGCCTCCTGAGTGCTGGGATTACAGGTGTGTTCCATCACACCTGGCATCAGAAAGTATATTTACCTCAAACTCGGCAAAACTCTCCCCTCAGCCTCCTGAGTGCTGGGATTACAGGTGTGTTCCATCACACCTGGCATCAGAAAGTATATTTTAGGGCCAGGGATTTGGCTCAGTGATGCTACGACTTGCCCTGAAAGCCCAAGGTCCCGAGTTCAATCCCTGGTACCAAAAAAAGACTATTTTTAAACTGAAAAATACTGTATATATCCATGGTGTATCACATGTTTAAAAATATGTACACATTGTAGAATGGCTAAGTCAAACTAACATATGTATTACCCCATACACTTACTAATTTGTGATCTACTCTCCCAGCAATTTTCAAGTATACAATACACTGTAACTAACTAAAGTTACAGGTTGTATCCTAGAGATATTTTGAGTAAACCTTCACTCCTTTCCTTGTGTAAAAGAAAAAAAAAATCATAATACTATTTTGTAACCTTTTACTTAAGAAAAAGCACCTAACAAAGTCACAGAATCACAAATGATATGAACAATAAATACTGGTCACACATTATATAAAATGTCATTAGGTAAAATTCCAATAAGCAGATGTCTTTCATTCAAATAAAATGTTTAACACATTATTTTAAATGTCTATAAAATTACACAAACCAAAATAAATAAAAATGTTTGAAATTAAGACAAAACTGCATCGAAAGACAAAAGAAAAACCTACTCTCTCGTAAAGAAAGAAAAAGGAAAAACCTGCCTGGCCTAGAGACCTTAGCTGAAGTTCCCAACTCACCAGACTCAGGTGTCATGCAGGAAGTGTCTACCCAGACCTCAGAGAGGACCACAGCATTGACTCGAATGCTCCAGGACTCTGCCTCTCTCCCCTGCGCTCTCCGAAGCTGTAACGCGACTTTCTGGCATGCCTTCCATTTACAGCTCAAAGCGAAATCTCATCATTATTACTGGATCTCCATCTAATGAATCCTGATTGGTTTTTAATATTCTGTAGATTCAACTAATCAAATTGTGTATGCATTCATGAAACAGACAGAAAAAGAAAACCAACTGAAAGTATAACTGCCAGGGAAAATTTAAGGCACATAAAAATTACTCAAATGTTTAAATCAGCTTTATGAAGAAGATGGTATGATCCCCAAAGTGGGAAAAACCCAAATTAAAACCCCCCATGTATCACAGTGTCACTTACAATTTATGTTCCATAACACATCAAATAAAATGCCTTTTCAGGGAGAACTGAGGGGTGGTTGGTCTCCCAGACTTTTAAGATCAAGGCTCCCTATATCAGTCAATATTCACTAGAGAAACAGATATACAAATATGTAAGATTGGGCCGGAGATTCAGCTCAGTGGTTCCACTGCCTGCCTCACAAGAGCAAGGTCCTGAGTTTGATCCCTGGTAACCTCAAAAAACAAACAAACAAAACAAATGTGCGAGATATACAAATATGCAAGAAGATATACAAATACATAAGGATTTACAAGATTGGCTTACAATGGCCACCCACAGAGTCAGATGAGGAAGACTCCAGAGGGTCTGCCTGCACACTGGAGATTACAGAAGTTAGTCAAAGGTCTGGAGCTCACTGCAGTGTCCTACGAGTCCGTATCAGGAGGCTGATGGTCTGTGGTAAAAGGCTGAAGAGTCTATGCTGGAAGACTGAAGTATCCGTGCCAGAAGCTGAAGGGTCTGAGCTGGAGGCCAGGAGATGACGTCAAAGGTGAAGCCCGGAGCTCCTCCAAAGGAACAGAAGCAGCTACATCCTTCCTCATTTCGCCTTTGTAACACCCAGGCAAAGAGCCGCACTAGGGTGGATCCCATGGGATTGCAGCTAGAATTGCTGAGCCAAATTGGCTAAGTTTATCTTAACCAAACTTCTCAAACTGACATAATCAATCAACCACCTCACTGCCCTAAATGAAGTTAAGTCAAAATTACAACTAGGGGGCTGGGGATTTAGCTCAGGGGTTCTGCCACCTGCCTTGCAAGCACAAGGGTGAGTTTGACCCCGGCACCAAAAAAAAAAAAAAAAGTTACAGCTAGGAATTGGCCAGAGGTAAGGGTGGGGGCTGGGCATTTGTTATGGTATATGGTGGATTGATTATACTTAACAAGATAAAATGTTTGTTTGGAGAAGTTGAAAGACTTTGTCTGAATGGAACTGAGGAATTAGAAGGGGAGGCTAAACATCATGAATATATCTTTAGTCTTAGACTTAGGAAGCTGAGGCAGGAAGATCAAGTAATCTCAGAAGTTCCCCACCAGCCTGGTCAACCCAGTGAGCTACCATCTCAAAACCAAACCAAACCAAACCAAAACCGTGGGCTGGAGCAGAGTGTGGGTGTTGGCTGAAGAGAAGACCAGAGAAGTGGTAAACTCAAGGTAATCACTGAGACCCAAGGGAGATTCAATCTTCCTCTCTCCCTGGAAGTAGTATTTCTTGTCAAGTGTCTGGATCCACTCAGCAAAATGGCTTGAGTGGATTAAATCTAGAATGAGGGTGGAAGAAGGGCCAGGAGGTAGTATTAGTGACTAACCCTAAGAATGCATGCAACCTTTCAAATCTGAAAGCAACTGAGATGTGAGAGCTGCAGGTTCTTTGGGATCTTGGAGCCAGGGAGTAAAATGGGTATGGGCCAAATGCACCTATCCTTGTCATCCAAGAAGCTATTGGAAGACCGTGTTTAGAACCTAGTATCCTCCTCCACGCCTGAATGGTTCACAAGCAGCAGAGGAAGGCCAGGTACTATTCAAGGATCTTTCTCCCAAACATGATTTCCAAAGTCATCTTTCCAAGATGTTGAAGGCTGATGTTTTTCCTCCATCTTAAGAAACAACTAAAGTAAACAGCATCAAAAGGCACCCTTTGCTCTCCCGATGGTTCTTAGGTACAGAGATTCTGATCAAAGAGATGCTATGAAACACAATTTGGCTCAATTTTTCTCTCTGTTTCAAGCATGAAACACACATGCCATTTTCACCTCACCAAGTTTGAAGACGTATTTGTCATTTAACAATCTGCCAACTTTAAGGATGGTTTGCACATTGGTCTGGCTTACACTTTGGTTCTTTTAAAGTTTGAAAACACTAGGATGGAGAGTGTCTCAACTCCAAGAATTCTCCAGGCCTTTCTTGGCTCCATATATGATGATGCCCATAAAATTCACAAATCCAGGTTGTGAGGATGCTGCAATTCATTGAAGGATAGTTTCCATTTTGATACCTTTCTGGAGGCAGCTTTTTCTCCAAATTTCTCATTATCAATGGCCTTTGCAAAATTGGAATGTGTCCTACAGGCATATGCTTTAACTGCCTGCCACCTTTACTTACTGGCAATTTAAGACTGAGATTAGTAACAAATATAACTGGCAGGGCCACGGATTTAGCTCAGTGGTTTCACACTGCCTGCATTGCAGGCACAAGGTCCAGAGTTTGATACCTTGTGCCAAAAAAAAAAAAGAAAAACCAAAAACCCAAAACAAAGATAAATGACAATGTCCCTAATTATTAAGCACACATCTGACACAAAAAAGGTAGGGCTACTTCAGCCAGTACTTCAATTAACCTCCGCAGAAAATTAACTTGCGTTTTTCTCTAGACACAGAAGCCCAAGAGGGATACTAAAACATTGACCCTCTGGTCTTTGTGTTGTTAGAGCATATTTGTGCTTCCATATTGTTATCTCTTTCTGTGTCCTAGGAATGTGAGTCCACCTCTCCTGAAGCCTGAGATGTGGCCAAGATACTGAAAAGCAACTTTCTACTAGTATCAGCAAAATTCAAGGGAATTCTAATTCTTGTGAGCTATTTTGGAGAACACAGACTGTAGGGAGATAAAAGGTCCAGCACACGCCCACCTATTTTTATGGATTCCAGAAAGTACCAACAATGCTGGAAGATAACTCTTTCTGGAGAAGACTCAGGGCTTTCTAGGCTTCAGAGGAACCAAGCTGATGACAGGTTCAATGACCAGACCTAAGGCCAATGGTTTTCCTTCTCAAGCTCTTTACTTAGTCTGAGCAGACAAGAATCTACCTGGGTTCCAATAACTCTTTCTTTTCTTCACAGTCAGATCTTGTTTTTGGTATTTTTATTTTAATTTTTATTAGTACATGTTTGCTTTCTTGTTTTGTTTTGGTTTTTGGTACCAGGGATTGAACTCAGGACGGTGCACTTGCCAGCAGGTGGTGGAACCACTAAGCTGAATCCCCTGGCCCCCAGGGCTTTTTTTTTAAGTACAAGTTTGCAATTCATAATATTTATACTTCTTGTGTAGTGTTGGTACAAGTACATACCATTGTTAGAGGGACTATGGAAGGATTCTTTGGTCCTTGTGGATTTTTTTTCCATTTCTTTACTTTTTATTAGCACATTTACTACATAAGCTCAATGTAATAATAATGTTTACATTCCTTGTAGAAATTGGTACATGTATATTATATATCTTAATTCCTTAAAAAAAATCTTTCTTTTCTGTTTCTCCAACTCTTGTTTTTTTGTTGTTGTGGTTGTTTGTTTTTTTATTGTTTTTTGAGACAGGGTCTCACTACCTAGTGAGACTGACCTGGAACTCAATGTGTAGCCCAGGCTGGTCTTGAACTCACAGTGATCCTCCTGCCTCAACCTTCCGAGTGCTGGGATTACAGGCGTGCGCCACCATGCCTGGCTATTTCTCCAACTCTTGATCCCCTTACTTTTTTTTTTTTTTTTTTTTTCC